AATAAAACTTTAATGATTAACATAAATAGCAATTGTATTTTTCTCTCAGTTAATTAGCGAGACAGAAACCAAAACAATTAAACGGTATAACTACTATTTTATTTAAATTATTTTATTATCAACCAATAAATCTATTAACTAATTAAACAATAAATAAAACTTTCACATAATTATCTCAAGCCTATCAAATTCTCGCATCAATAAATTTTTTAATCTCACTTGTCGTCAGCTCTGAGCCATAATTTATTATTTTTAGTTATACTAACATTTATCCGAACTGGAGTAAGTACTCTACGCTGTAACTTCAAATAGGGCGAAGAACAAACTTTCACTTTGCTTATACATATTACATATACCACACAGAGTATACGTACATGCACATATTTAATTTAAATTCATTGACATGAACAAGATGTATGTTCACTAAAAGACGACATGTAATTGCTCGTTATACATAAAATAAAATAAATAATAATCAAAGTAAAAATGAACCGCGTGTTGCGCAGACCTTTCTCTAAAGGTGTTATTATCTTCTGACATGGTAAACACATTTGCATGATCGATAATTGTTTTTTAATGAAAATAGATCAAATGACAAGGTTTTATTGATTAATTAATGTTGAGATTTATGGACGTAATTTTATTAAAATAGAATTTTAAACGATTAAATTGTTGATAAATATTATCATACACAGAAAGGAAAATTTCTTGCCTGGAGAACGGAGTCTTGGCTCAAGAAAATTTTCGGGCGCCTGGAGGAAGACCGAAGTTGTGTTGGCCGAAATAAAAATTTTTCTTGAAATTCTATTCTTGGTGGAAGTAATTTTTTCTTAATTCAAATTATCATAAATACTTGATACAATAAATTTTTATATGTGATCAAGATTTTTAGATACTTTAGGGAAGCAGCGCCACCTACTTCAGCTGAGAAAAAAATTTTCTCACCTTGAGAAAATTTTTCTCTTGAATATTTGATACCAATTTTATATTATTTAAGCGTGCAATTATACATATTGAATGAAAAAAAATGATTCAATATTATTTGATCTTCCCATTTGACATGTTAGTCAATAAAAATATTAATGAAAATTTACTTCTATCTTTATATTTAATTTTTTGGAGCAAGAGAGAAATTTCCTCAAGACAAGAAAATTTACTTCTATCAAGAACTAAATTTTTTGGAGCTTCGAGGCTGAATTTTCTCAAAACAACAAGATTATCGTGACTTAAATAAATTTTCTTGGATCAAGATACGTATTTCTTAAAGCAAGAGAATTAATTTTGTTGGGATAAATGAAATTTCTTGTGTCAAAAAAAAATTTTTTTTTCGCTCAAAAAAATAATTATGAAAAAAAATATTTTCTTGTCTCAAATGAACCTTTTTTTCTGCGTAACATAATTTTTTATATTCAATTAAATCATCTGTAACGTCAAATAAATTAAGGGTATAAAAAGATTCTCCAAAAGAGAAACAGACAATTAAAAAATCTTCTAACTCTTTTCTTGGAGACAAAAAAATAAATCAATCATTTTTTAAATTAGAATAAATCTCTTAAATCAAATCCTTCAACTCTATAGATAAAAAATAAATTATGACTAATAAATATATATTTATAGAAACGTCCATTAAAAATGATGATTGACGTTTCATTAAAATAGAATATACTTGACAGTTGACTTCCTCCATCACTTAAAATATTAATTTTAAATAAAATAACTCGAAAGATAAATTGATTTGTGGACATAATTACCTACAAAATCAGACCTGTAAGCTTAAAATATAGTTAATTAACTTAATGGCAAAAACTTTTAAATTTCACGTAATCGAATAAAGCAATACGGAAATCTAACTTGAGGAAAGCAATCGTAGGAAATCCAATAAATTACAAATAAAATCTCAACTTAAATCTGACATCTCTAAACATAGCTCATGCACTAGAAATATTTTGAATCTAAATTGGCTCGCTCTAAAATAACTAAACTATTTTTCCGTCTAAAGAGAGTTTAAATGAAATATCTCTTCTCGGATCTTTTAATCAATTTATTTGATTTATTTTCATCCATACTATATTTATCTACCAGAGAATGAGAATAAATACGTGGTTTATAATACAGTACTATAATACGTGATATGTGCACTCGTCACATTTACAAGCAAATAATAAAATCAACTTTCTCTATGATATATATCCATTAAATATAAGTTAAGTGAAGCAAGCAAGTTCGATTGCTCATAAAACTATTTAACTGACGTGGCTTATACGAGCTCGTAAATATTACTCCGACTGCCTAATGCATTTATAAGTACTGAAACGAAAACTAGGTAACCCTCTTTACTTACGCTACTCTTATTCTCATCCATATATATACTAGTCACACACTGCAACTAGTTTTTATGCTTGCAAACAGATAATAGATAATACAAGAGTCGTTAATATTTGTAAAGCAAGATCACTCAACTGTTAGCCGTAACAGTTAACAAATAACAACACATGCGCGTATACATACACAGAAAAAAAGATTCATTTGAACCAAGAAAATATTTTTCTTCCTAATTATTTTCTTACGCGAGAAAAAATTTTTTTTTTGACTTAAGAAATTTCAATTATTCCAACAAAATTAATTCTCTTGCTTTAAGAAATACGTATTTTAATCCAAGAAAATTTATTTAAGTCAAGAAAGTCTTGTTGTTTTGAGAAAATTCAGCCTCGAAGCTCCAAAAAGTTTAGTTCTTGATAGAAGTAAATTTTCTTGTCTTGAGAAAATTTCTCTTTTGCTCCAAAATATTAAGTATAAAGATAAAAGTAAATTTTCATTAATATTTTTATTGATTAACATGTCAAAAGGGAAGATCAAATAATATTGAATCATTTTTTTTCATTCAATATGTAAATTGCACGCTAAAATAATATAAAATAGGTATCAAATATTCAAGAGAAAAATTTTCTCAAGGTGAGAAAATTTTTTTCTCAGCTGAAGTAGGTGGCGCTGCTTCTTTAAAGTATCTAAAAATCTTGATCAAATATACAAATTTATTGTATCAAGTATTTATGATAATTTGAATTAAGAAAAAATGACTTCGACCAAGAATAGAATTTCTCGAAAAATTTTTACTTCGGCCAACACAACTTCGGTCTTCCTTCAGGCACCGGAAAATTTTCTTGAGCCAAGAATTTTGTTCTCCAGTCAAGAAATTTTTCTCTCTGTATAGAGAAGCTAATCGGTGAAAAAATTTTTTAACTTACAAAAAGTCATTTTGGTATTAAAATAATGACTTAAAAAAAACAATAATAAATTCTATTGACACTGTAATGTATTACAACTATTTTAGATAAAAATAACAAGCATAAGTACATGTGTATTTAGACAAAAAGAATATGATGAGTAGGTATAAATCGTGTTCACATTGATTGATAGTTTCTTACGGCCGCTTCTATGCAATTAAATGTCGACGTAAAAGAAAAAAAAAACATTAAAGTAAAAAATAACGCTGGGTATTAAATGTTTGTACACAATAGTTCTTGATCATTCTTAATGACAACGTACTGAAATCAAAGCGTCCTGAGGATAATTAATTACCGTTAAACGAATGGGTTTGTGTCGATCGACGATGTAAATCATTTGTCATTATTGTCTTGAAAAATAAAAAATGCATAACTCGTAATTTAACTTTGTTGACAGTTCTTTCAGACAATCGTAATAAATGAAGATAAAATATATGTACGTAGATAAATTATTTAATGTATATTATGGAGCATTAACACAGAGAAAATTACGAAAGAATTTCGTCATTATAATTAAAGAAAAAAAACACAACAATGATAACAGTTTTTTTATATAAAATTTATTGCAAAGTCAAGAAGAAATTTAATATCGAAATTCTCTGACGCTTTTAATTAACAAAGAAATTTGAATGGAAATTCACACCGCATTTATCAGCGAGACAAGATTAATTTGTATTGAGCAGAATTTCAATCGATTTTGAAATATTTGAGGTCGAGGTTTCGTTATTTTTATTATCGTTTGTCGAGAATGTGGATGTGTGTTTTTTTTCTCAAACATTCCAATTGACACTGTTGGTTAAAATTGCTCGGTAGAATGCACTATGTTATTTCGTTTGATGCATCAACTTTAGCTGGGATATTTTCGATTCGCTCTTTCGTTATTGATTGTTGCATAATAATCGTTACTTTCTTGATAATAACTCATAGTTGAGTCGTGGGATTATTAATATGAATGGAAATAGCGATGCAGTATGATTGAGAGTAAGAGACAGGAAAATAGGAATGGTAATGAGAAAGGAAGCTGACTAATAAATATGAGTTTTATCAACATTTATAAGAGTACAATGGCAATTGGTTAATGGCCATTATATGCAATGGTAATTAAGCCTGAATTTTTTATTTTTCGTATGCTAATTGTGTAAAAATTTCCTTCAATTGTGACGCAAATTAACTATTACTCCGTACGGAATAAAATTTATTGATTACTTCGAAGAAACTGAGGGGAAAGTTTCATTACTATAGAAATTGGTGAGTCAGATACCTTTGATTGATAATTTTTGATACTACTGTCACTTATCACTTTCAATTGATTTTAAAAATAGAAAAAAATTAATGCAATATATCAGCTGGTATATTTTTTCTACTATTTAGTTTAAATTTATATTGATCGCCTTCTATTTTTAATTACACCTCACTGTTCACTACTGTTGCGTGTAGTGAGGGTAGGACTTTATTTTACCTTTCGTCCCTAATGCATTAAAAAAAATAACGTGTTTTCTATTGTTGTAGCAAATATTAGGTCAGTTGCGACAGACATTCAGAAGCAATTAGACTTATTTTGCATACTTGCTTATTTGGTTATACGTGGTTATAATATTTTCTGACCCCTAAGAGTCAAGAAATATAAGTTGTTTAATTGAAAAAGATCAGTTAATGTGAATCGATGTGATTATGTTGATTGTGAAAATGAGAGTAAAAGAGATTACATTGATTTTTATGTTAATAAAAGTGTCGCATTGTCAAATAAAAACTTACAGTTCGCTTCAAACCGATTCAGACGTTCATTTCTACAGCCATGTGGTAATTGATTATTTTTTTACTTTAATAGTATTCACCAATTAGTTTGATTTTTTCACCGACTTGTAATTTACAGAAACGACTTCTTGAATTTTGTTTTTCTGACCGTCTCAATCCTGTTGTGATTACTGAAGATTTGTATGATAAAATTCACAAGATTCCATGGGAAATCGTAGAGCCACCTACAATTATTCTCAATAAAAATTTTATATCCAAAGAAATCCAAGTTTTCAATCCAAGATACCCGACATATGTATTGTCGGTTTCTGGGTCGATTCATAAATTGAAAACGCTGTTCGATAAATTAAAATCAACAACAACGTGGAGTGTTGAATCTTTTTTTTTTATCGTTGAAGTAGACAATTTTTGCGAAAACGCTAATGAAGTTCTTAAATTCTTATGAAAGATGGATTTACTGACATCTTTTTATTTGTGTCGAGAATCTGATTCTGGTGATTTGATAATCTACAATTATAACCCATTTATCAACTATGCACCGTATCCATGGAGAAGCACTGAAACAACTAGTCAAGAAATGGCGGGGGAGGGAACACTATTTCATCAACATTTCAATAATGGTAAATTTTATGGAATTCATACAAATCATTTGATTCCTAACTTTAGACTAACAAAATTCAATTATGAGTTACAGATCGGAAAGTTTGCCACAACATTACCTTTGACAAAACTAAAACTCTAGGCAATCATAAAATTAAGACACGACGATAAAATATCAAGTCCGAAATGCTACTCGTGATGATGTGATTGATGCTAGGAATGTAAATGTTCAATTTTATAAGTTTTCAAGAATGTCATCCGTATATTCTTTTTTCAATTTGTTGAATATCACAACATCTTGATATTGTATTCATCCAGATTCTTTTGCTGAGACTGTCAAAAAAGGATATTTGAAAGCATTAGCTAGTGGTAATTATGATATTACCGAAGGAAATATGCCCATTTCAAATACTAATTATTAATATACTGATATTGTGACTCATTATGAGGAAATTAAATTTTCAATATTAACTCAAAAACGGACTTTCTCGGCAATAACCGGTCAAATCGTCAGCGAACACAATTATGAAATATTTTTAGTTTCGATTATTATTATACTATCAGTCACTATTTGTACAGTAATACACAATTACTTTGCATTCGGTGTTTCTCTTTTAGATGTTTTTAGTCTGATATTTAATATGGGAATAATGACGCCTCTTGATAGATTGTCGATGCGGATTGTGTTCGTCATAGCATCTTTCTTTATTTTTTTGGCATCCTCAGCTGTTCAGAGTAAAATATCAGCTCTTTTAGCGAGACCGTCTCGTTACAGTATTGACACTTTACAAAACTTGTTCGATCATCGTTATCATGTATTTTATTATCCGGACTTACATCAGGATATCTCAGATCAAAATATATGGGTTACTGACGATGATAAAAAATTCTTGCACCCTTGTGAATATCCTGAACTATTTAAATGCACCAAAAATGCTGGTAAAAATTCTACAATCGCTTGTATTTATAAATAGTATATTACATACCTAGGCCAGTAAAATAAGAAAAGTCTCAGACCACATGTAATTGTTGGCCGAGGCGAAGCCGAGGTTGACAAACATATGGTCTGAGGCTTTACTTTTTACTGGCCAAGGTGTGTATACTATTTTTCTGCTCGACGTAGCCGGAATGTGGCAACTTTGTTTAGCGCAGCGGCCAGAAAGTTGCCACTTTCCGGCCGGAGGGCAGAAAACTTATTTGCAATTAAGATCCATGAAATCATTTCCAAACTTGTATATGTCCAAAAATCCAGTTTTTACAAAATATTATGCACCGTGGACCCGGAAGAACTGGGCCCTGAAAAAGAAATTTGACAAAATCAGACGGAGAGTATTTGATTCCGGGTTTATAAATTATGAAGATAAAAAAAAATCATTAATCGATTAAAGAGAATAAGAACGGAAAAAAGAATTAATGCCTCTGAACAAATGGACGAAGTAACCGAAAACGATTTAATTCCTACTTACAAAATTTTTGGAGTTAGTTTGATCATTGCGTTATTAATTTTTTGTATCGAAGTATAATAATCGAAAAAATGTTCACTCATTCTAAAACCGAACATAAGCAAACAATGTCAAGAGTTGAACCAAAAATTGAGCGCTCCAAGCGCCAAAAGATTCTCAAAAAACACAAGCGAAATCGTAATAAAAGATCATGGTATCCGTGAAAATAATTTGTTGATAGTGTGAATTCATCGCGATGGTTTACAAACGTGCTTACTGTCTATTGATTATAAAATAAACCAGTATTTTTCAATAGAATAATAAATGTAAATTGCATGTTTTGTTGTGTGATGGGTGACAATAATTTTACAATCGATTTATTTACCTTGAACTGAAATGAAATAGATGACTATATTACTTGTTTTGTAACGATGAAAAATATATTGAGTTTAAAAAAATTCTGTAATAACTCTTACTTTCAAATTTTCTTGATTAATTAACCATCTAACCATAAAATCAAAAAAATATGTACGATAAATGCAATGAAATATCGAGGATAGTTGAAATAAGGAATGCTGAATGAATTCCTCTTCGACCTATCGAGCGCAGAATCAGTCTCCATAGAGAAGCAAAATGGCGACTGTTATGTTAGAAAGAACTAAATTCTGGATGGAAGGTACGTTAGTCATTTACTTTTCTTTTAATCTACTTCTCTCTTAACTTTTTCACGTATTCCCTCACCGTTTAATTTATCTCTCTCTTCACCCACTATTTGTATTTCCATAGACATACACACCACACTTATTCGCATCACAAAACTAATATAAATATATACTTACACATATTTATCCTTCTCTTGGTTCATCTCTCTCATTTCTCATCGTTCATTTCTCGTCTCTTCTTCTCTGCGTTTTCATATTATGAAGCCTCCCACCGAGCCTTGCTCTGTCTTTCTCTCTCGCAAAATCAATAAGCCATTGCCTGCTCTCTCATATCTATCATATGTGTGATTATGTGTGCAGACTATAGACTACACAGACAGACCATGACAACAATATAACATCTCCCCATTTTACTATTTGTGAGCCGGAAACCTTACTTTTATAATCCATCTAATTAGATTTTAGGAAGTACATTAACGTTAATCCTCATATGAGCATTGTCTGGAAAAGCTATTGTCCCAAACTGCTAAAGTCTACGAACTACTAATCAGATTTAAGTTAATTAATTTACTTGACGCTGTAATTGATTTGCTTTTTTTACTTCTTTTTTTATTTTTGCGATTATTTTTATTATATAAGGTTTTAATTGTGCAAGACGAAAAGAGAACAAAAAAATAAAAAAAACAGAAGTAGTTTTTCGTTGAAGCTCAAGAGAGTAGTTAACACAACTTGAATTCGTGATGACGGGACCACAGACGTAACCACAAACCAGTAGGAAGGCGCACGTGCGGAGCGGCACACCGCTTGTTTCCCGCAGTGCTTCGGAAATAAAAATATTAAACACACATATACGTCTTTGAGCAATAAAATTTTCATTTTATTATTAGACAATATTTTTTTTAATTAATCAATTTTTTGATTTAAAATATTAAAAATTAATTTTTTACATTTTTATTTAAGATATCACTCGGAAAAAAAAAGTTTTTTTTTGCTGAAGCTACTTTTTCACTCAGATGGCTTCTGATGTGCAACATCTTCAAATTTTTCCACTGCTTTGCATGCTCAGAAATTAATTTAAAAAAAACTAGCAACTTTTTTAACTATTGACGTTTTTAAAGATATAAGCTCATCCCGATGTTACACTCATCAAGAGCTTCCATTTGAGTACCCACATGCATTTTGATATATTTTTCATATATACATATATATAATATATATAAATATATGAAAAATTGATGTGGGTATTCAAATGAAAGGTCTTGATGAGTGTAACATCGGGAAGAGCTTATATATTTAAAAATCTCATTAGTTCACAAGATGCAAGGTCATTTCTTAATTATGTTAAATTGCACTGTACTTTCTGAAATATTAACATTTTTAAAGATATAAGCTCATTCCGGTGTTAAACTCATCAAGAGCTTTCATTTGAGTACCCACATGTATTTTGATATATTTTTCATATATTCATATAAATATATGAAAAATTGATGTGGGTACTCAAATGAAAGGTCTTGATGAGTATAACGTCAAGATGAGCTTATATCTTTAAAAACTTCAATAGTTCACAAGATACAAGGTCATTTCTTAATTATGTATCTGGAGATAGTGCATTTTCAAATGCAGCCTAACTTATCATCATAAATTTTCTATTGCCGAGAATGATATGAAACCTTGGAAAGGCACAACTCCAGGTGAAAACTTTTCCAATGATACCAAATTTAACCATAAAAATCCATTTTATCCTATAAATATAATAATATAGATAATTTTCATCTGTCACAAACTAGAAAATTAAAAAAAAAATAAAAATAAATTTTTTTTATTTTTAAAAATGGAAATATTGATTTATATTTCAAAACTTAATTCTCTCAAAGCGAGACAATTTAGCGATCGTGTGCCCTCTGTTGGGGATTTTTAACTCTACAATTGATCGAAAAATTGTATATGGACATATCAAACCATATCAGAAAATTTTACAATTATAAAAGTACGCTTCGGCAAAAAAATCCTTCTTTGTAATTAACAGAACAAATTACAGTAGATGTGTTTGTAAGATAAATCGCAATTATCATTATAAGTAAGTTAAAGTTCACACTTGTAAAACAAAAAAGGAGTGATAGAAAGTAGTTAGATCTGTTGGTTGGTGTACAACTGCAAAACAAGCGAATAAAACGTAATGGGGAAGTGAGCTCATTCGTTCGTATTCCAAACTTTCTGATAACTCGGGCTGCAGTAGAATACAATGCCCGTACAGAGAACTTTCTACCAGACCTAAACAAGTTTATTTAACTTCTCTTGGAGGAGCCCACCCTCTTTTTCACACGACCCCGTCTTTTTCACCCCCAGATAGACTTACCTGGACCTTCCTCCACTTCCGCCGTCACCTCTACCTCTTTTTACACTCACAAGTTCACCCCTCTGCTTTCATCCGCGCTCTCTTTTACACCCTACTAGTCGTCTGCAACACTACATACATTTTGCACCCCGCCCTGTCCTTGCTGATTACCTTACACTCTAATATCTTTCTTCTGTCCGCTCACATAAATATACGAGTATGTATTATGTATATACATAGCATAACTAAAAGCTCTACACAGTAAAAGCCCATCCACCTGCAATAACCCCCAAGTTTTCCAAAGTTTTCGACAGATTAACGACTATTGGAATTGTTCAAGTTATGGGTAAAGCTTTTACAATGCTCGCGGGGCATAAAGGCGAATGCATGATTGGGTGGAAAAGCCACTGCTGGGATGTGGGTGGCAAACGAGAATGAATATTGGAATTTTCTACTGTAGTTGTAGAAGATTGAGTATGAAAGGCAAATGTATGAGTGAACCAAAATAAAGCTAAAGTTCACTCTTTCAGTACTTTTTCTCCGTCTTCTCTCTTCGTTCTTCGTGTGTATTTTAAATTTCAGATCTCTTTCTTATATTCGGGCAAAGAAATAATTTATACGAAATGAAAAACCCTTATAGTCGCATAGTAAATTTTTTTGGAATGTATTGAGTCTAATCTATCGTTAAATAGACTATTATTTATCTTATTGACATTTTTTCGATGTTACTTTATAGCTAATAATTTAAATCGTATAAATGCATTTAAATTCTTTATTTTGCATTTTTTATTTAAATTATCTATACTTATAAATGGAGAGCCGATTTTTTTGTCCGGTTATACTGCGAAAACTACTGAACCGATCGGAATAATACTTATACCATAAGATGCAGCGTGTTTCCGAGACGGTTTTAGCATATGATATGGTGATGATTACTTATCCGGAACCTATATTTTTTTACTTAGAAATAATGAATTTTTATTGTAACTAAATTTATTCTATTTGATTGTAATTTGTTTAAAATAATTTTTTTAATTCTATTGGTTATGTTTATATACTAGGCAGATTTCTTCACTTATAAGACCTGCAATTTCTTTAACTGAAACATTCAATGCTCATTACAAATTTTTTTATCTTATCAATTATTATTCATTTTTGTAAGAAAGACACGGGAATGTTATAATGATTGCACATTGAAAGTTACAATTAATATTAGCTAGAATAATTACATGGATAAAAGGTCCATGCCAATTCGATAGAATTGGGAATCTGTGCAAGTCAAAACAATACTCTGATTAAATTTCAAGTTTAGATCTAAAAATGCAATTCTATAAAACGCCCAGCGGAGCGAGCGAGTAACAGCTAGTTTATAATAAATCGTATAACTTAAATATTTTTTTATCACACATTAAGATTATTTATACCAGTGACAAAACTTTCTATGATCAGTCGAGATTTATTTATTTTTAGTTATTTATTTCTTTTTAATGATCCAACAGCCAAATGGCCAGTAACCGCACTGAGAAAAAAGTATTTTGCTACTAAGGACATTTTTTTTTATAATCATGATTATCATGATTATAATGATAATCATGATTATAATCATGAATATATTCCATTAAAAAACAAAATGTCCTCGATGATATGATTATAAATCCGATGAACTAGTTGAGTTTTTTCGTTTTTTCACATGTTTAGGAGGGAAGTTTTGTTAATTTGTAAATTAGGTAGTTTTTTATCATCAGCATCATTATTATTATTATTATCCAAATCATCGTCGGAAGATAATACGAAATGAACAATGTTCTCCATAAGTTATGATAATACATCGCGTACAATATACTTCTATTGTGAAAGAAGAAAAATTATAATAATGTTATTTATTTTAAATCTTATTTATTTACAATCTGCAAAATGTCACAGTTGGAGGTTAATATTTCTGTGACATGTAGCTAATGTTTTTATTTACATATTTTAATTCAAAATAAGTGACTGAATTCAAAGATAACTACTCGTACGCAATATAACTGTGCTGAATTATTTATTTTTTTATTGTGATTATCAAAATACTTTTTTCTCAGTGCGGATCTTTGAATAAGATTATACACTCAGAAAAAAAATTACTACTTTTGAGAAAATTTTCTTGTCACAAGAATATATATTTTTTGTTTAATTCAAGTGAACCTATTCGTTTGTTAATCTATCAAAATTAATGCCTATATTTTAT